AAGGAAGGAAGGAAGGAAGGAAGGAAGGAAGGAAGGAAGGAAGGAAGGAAGGAAGGAAGGAAGGAGAGAGAAAGAAAAAGGAGGGAGGGTTTTGCTAATAACATACAGTCTGACCAACTGGTACTGCCCACAACCAGCTTTGATGCTAACCAGCAAACCAGTATTGGTGTTGGAGGTTGGCTCCATTAATATGGACACAAACATGCCTAATTATGTTACTTTGCATCACCAAGCTCTATTATTTTTTCTATCCAAGCACTGCCTTTCTGCTTGGTTTCTCTGGCATTCTTCTTCATCCCATCCATGCTAGGTGCCCTTGGTTGAAATCCAGACTGATGGATCCAATCTATCCACCCATTCCTGGCTTTTCCTTTTGCCCCGTGCATAGTTAAAAGCTGCTCGTCACCTTCTCGGTTTTGTTGACGTTGGAGTTTCTTAAGGCCCCCGAGCAGTACAAAATCTTTTCACACCCATGAAGGGCGTGAAGAAGGACTCCAGAAGCGATAGCGAAATGTGCTAAGAAACGGAAGAGTTATTCTGTACTTCTTGATCTATAGAGGCACAACCCACTGAGCCATGAAAGTGTCAAAATACTTGGTAATCAGAAGTTCTAACAAGAGGCGAGGAAGTTGTGCCATTGCTTGGGGGGTTGGACAGTGAATGGGAAGATGAGCTCCCAGGGTTTCATGCAATGGCATGCTCCAGGCTATATAGAAATATCACATCATCGGTGGCTTCGTGCTGCAGGGACGTGTGAAAGGCTTGGCTGTCGAGCGGCTCCCCGGCACAGTAGCTTCTGAACCGAAGATAAAAGCTGTTTTTTGGACCCGCAGTTGAGCTGGGATGAAAATCCCTCTATCCTTGACCAGAATGGCTGAGGATGACGGATTTGTTCTCCAGCGTACCCGGAGTGCATCAGGATGGGAGAAGCTGATTTGGAGAATGGTAGGAAAGGAATGAATGAAGAGATCAAGGCTTGCGAGCTGAAAAATGAGGGAGTTTTGATCCTGGTGACGGCTTCCTTCTGACTCTGAGTGCAACGATCAGCAGATCTTGACGTATTTAGGAAGTTAGCCTGCCAAAGTGGGAGGATCTCCTTAGCCTTTTCCCCTGACATACTACTTTTCTACATGCAAGGGAAGGGAGGAAAATTCCTTAAGTAGAAACAGCAAAGCATGATGTTGCATTTCCCCAGACATTTTATTCTTCTTTATACAAATAGGTTGCATTTAGATATTTAAATCCTCTTCTATTTTAAAAGGCAGTTTTCGACCTCCAGTCCAAATTAGTCCTATAATTTTGGAGAGAGAAGCCAGTCTGTGTCACGACATACTGGTTCTCTCCATATAGGGAGATGATTTTGTTCCCCAGCAAATGCTGCAACAGGTGACTTTCCAGCTCCTCTTCTCTCTGTGTGGAGGAACAAGGGAAAAAGAAGCCTAAATATTAGGAGTTTTAACTCCAACCATACCACAATAAACTAATCTGGTGGTTGAAACCTGTAGCTTGCCTTGAGAAGTTTAAAAGCATGAATACAAGTGGTTCTGAAAGCACCCCTGATTGTCCTCTTTTATTGCTCCTAGGAGGAGGTCTATTTGTCCACTACTAAAAACCTCATAGAAGGTGTCATCTCAGGATACAATGCAACTATTTTTGCATATGGTCCCACAGGTAAAATAGCTCTGTCTTTTTGCTAATGCTGGGGCTGGTGGGATGTAATGGTATATGGGAAAGACCTTGGGAGATGGGGTGAAGAGATGCTGCCTAGGGAACAGTCAGATAAGAGGGGGCATAGCCCACAGCTGCATAATGGCAGGAGAAAGAGGCTCAGAAGGGATCCTCCCTAGTTTCTTGGGCTGTAAAGGAGACAAGGGGAAGATTGTACTTTCAGTCTTGCAAGATTCTGTTAATGTAGCTTTACAATAAAGTAGAATGAGCTCATCTGGCCACGTTTCCTGCCTGGTCTACCTGGTAAGGCTGACATGGAATGAGTGGAACAGAGATGGAAGGAGTTTCTCTCTTTTGTGAACTGCATCCAAAACTTACCTGTTGGAACTGGAGCATTTAGAAGTGAGGGTTCCCATTATCTTTCTTTCTTCCTCTTCCCCATTTTTCCCAGGGGCTGGGAAAACCTACACTATGCTGGGGATGGATTCAGAACCTGGAATTTACATCCGTACCCTCAACGATCTCTTTCAAGCCATTAAGGCCACAGGAGATGACAAGGATTATTTGGTCTGCATGTCGTACCTGGAGGTGAGATGACCACTTTTAGAGGATTGCATGCTTAAGCAAGAAGAGGCATAGCTTGGAGCACCCCAAGGGATAGTAGGGATGAAATCAAACCATGTGTTCTGCAACTATGTCAGCCCCAAATCTTCCCACCCCCTCCTCCATAAAAGGGAAACATTTGTCCCTCTAGGAGAGAAGCCCCATCCTTTGGTCCTGTACCCACTTTGCATGAGAATGACCCACTTGAATCTTCGGGGGGGGGGAAAAGGATCCAGAAGCAACTGATGGAAAAGACCCATCTTCACTGGAGACTGTGCGGGACTGAGTGGCAAGCCTTGGTAAGCAGTTTTGGACTAGATGGGTATATTCCATTTCTCCCCTTTTGCTTTCAGATTTATAATGAAGTTATTCGTGACCTCCTGAATCCATCCATGGGCTACCTTGAGCTAAGAGAAGATTCCAAAGGATGCATTCAGATTGCAGGAATAACGGAAGTCTCAACCACGAATGCCCAGGAAGTAAGTGTGACCAGCCTTCTGTGGGGAGGGAAGACGTCAGCGCTCAAGAATTAAGCCTGTCTACTCTGTTGCAAGAACAGTGTCCGTCCAGATGAACCAGACAATCCAAGGGAGAATTGGATGCCCAGTGTTCAGTGAGCTTCAACAGCGGGAGGACTGGAGCGAGATAGAGCTCTAACAATAGTCAGAACTTGCAATGAACGTTCAAAGATCTAGTTTTTCTAAGTTCTGATTAATAAGAGTTAAGAAAAAGATTAAGTTGGTTGCCTAAGAATTCCAACAAGTACTTTTGCTTTCAAATAAGAACGTTATACACAGGCAATTCAAACCCATTAGCTTCTTCTTTGGCTTTCTCACCCTCTTTCAGTAAAGGCTTGTCCCTTTTGAAAAGGTGGGCCAACCGGCACCTTGATTTTTGTTTGCAGAATAGCTACTGCCTCTTTGTCAATGTTGAGAATCCATTCTCGCATTGGCCTTCTTGGCAGGATTCAATCTACATGTAAATTTCCCCAATCTTGTTTCCTCCACATGAGTTGGACTATGGCACCATCATTGGACTGTTGGCTGGAATCCAACACATCTGGAAGGTATCTGATTGGTAGAGCTGGAGCCAACACATCTGCTCCTTCTAGTTCTGCAGCTGGCTCTCTTATATTGAACAAAAGAAACAATCCATAGATATGTTTGTGGCATCCATGTATTTGTACATTTATGTCTTGTAGTAGAGCAAGCAAGTGATACTAGATCCCACCGCTTATCCAAATGGGCTGTGGTCCCACCGTCCCTTCTTTTTATGCCCTGATCTTCAAATTAAGCCACCCTAAGGGGTCCTGGCCCATCTTGTCCTGTCCCCCCCCTCCACATGGATACATGTTTGTGTTCTAAAGATTATGCAGTTGTTGACCAAAGGGAACAAGGAGCGCACTCAGGAGCCCACAGCTGCCAACAAGACTTCTTCACGATCGCATGCTGTTCTGCAAGTGTCCGTGAAGCAGACCAGCCGAGTGAAAGACATCGGTGAGGAAGTGCGTGTTGGGAGGCTCTTCATGGTTGACCTGGCTGGATCAGAAAGGGCCGCTCAGGTGATGTCAGCCATCCTTCAGTTCTTGTAATGGCATGTGGGAAAGACCTTGGGAGATGGGGCAAAGAGATGTTGCGTAGGGAATGGTCAGATAAGAGATGGCATAGCCCGCAGCTGGATAGTAGGTGGGGCAAGAGTCTCAGAAGGGACCCTCCCTAAGTTCTCGGGCTGTAAAGAAGACTGGGGGAGAACTTTACTTTCAGATTTGCAAGATTCTGTTAATGTACAGTACCTTCAAAATAAAGTAGAATTAGCTTATCTGATCATGTTTCCTGTCTGGTCTACCTGGTAAGGCTGACAGTTCTCTACCTCTCAGTGGCCATTGCTTAATGCAGACCTCTCCAAACTTGGAAGTTCTTCCTGCTGTGCCCACAACCTTTCTAGCTCAGTGCTACAGCATCTGTTTGCATGCTGAAGATTCAACCATTCTGTCAATAAGCTATGGGTAAAACAAGCTATGATTTAGCCCAAGTGAATGTAGTTGAAATTTATCAGCTCTGACAAATAGCACAGGATTGTGGGGGTGGTCAAAAACCTCTGGAGGATCTACTTAGAACAGGCTTTTGTAATTCTACTTAAAGTTCACCTCACAGGAGGGAGTTTGAAGATACCCTGTCTTAGAATAATTCTGTCTGATTTATAGAGAACTTTTCAGCCACTGTTCTACTCCATGTACTGCTAAATTATCAGGGTTCTTGTGTTTCTTTCCTGGTGCAAAAGTTAATCTTTTCTCTCCTTCTCCACAGACACAAAATCAGGGCAAAAGGATGAAGGAGGGGGCCCATATCAACCGGTCGCTCCTTGCTCTAGGGAATTGCATCAATGCGCTGAGTGAAAAGGGGGCCAGCCGAACACAATACATCAATTTCCGAGACAGCAAACTTACCCGTTTGTTGAAGGTAATGAGTCTTGTGGTTTTTTCCCCTCAGAGTAGGACATTGGCAAATTGCTCCTGGATTCTATTCACTTTTAATATATAGCTATATTTAACATAACTTTTAATATATAGATTATATTTTCTCAACCTGGGCTTACAAGCCAGGTTCCACCCTCCAGATGGTGCTGAATGTAAAAATCACCTTCACCAAAACCATTCATATATTGAGAGAGATAAACCCCAAGCGTGATGAAATTCAACGGATGACTCTTGCTGGGTCCCCTAATTTCACCCCAGGCTATTTCACAAGGCTGTTCTGTGGATACAGTGAGTGGTTTTTTGGATGGGGGGAGGTGGTAGGAGAGAAAAAGAAAAAGCTGTGCAGGTCCCCTTCATCTCCTGTGCCATGGCAAAAGTAGCAATAGAATAAGGAGATTCAAAGATGTTTCCTCAGCTGAATACTCACCTGTAGATGGTTCTGGTCGCTCGGGGTCAGGAAAAATATAATTGGGTGTGCTGCCCTGTCTCAACCTTCAAATCCACTTTTGTAGAGCTTATTTTGTTGGCGGTGATGAGCCAGATACTCACAGGGACCTTATTTCTCTAGGACTCCCTGGGGGGCAACAGCAAAACAGTTATGATTGCCCACATCAGCCCAGCCAGCACCTACTTTGAAGAATCTCGGACGACTCTGATGTATGCCTATCGAGCGAAAAACATCAAAACAAGGGTAAGAGAGGAAAAGGCATGAGAGCTGGCTGCTGACTTCCAAGAATTGGAAATCCAAGAATAATAGAGAGGACCAAGAACAAAGGGCACCAACGCTTGTTTACCTTCACACCAAAGATGTCTTTGATTCCCCCATTACAGAGTCCTCTTTTGAACTAACAGTCAACATTCTTTGGGTAGTGTCAAGGCTTCAAGGTCGGCCAGGTCTGAGAAAAGGCAACACAGGGGCTACTAGAACTCTATCGTTATAGGGTATAATAACTGAATCTTGAAAGCCTGCCTCTGCTTCCTCTTGTACCAAACAGAATCAAAGTGGGTTTATCTTCAGCTTCTTTCTTACCTTCTCTCCCTTCCCGGGGCTAAGCTGATGTTCACTTAATGGTTCATGCCTTCTTTCTTCGAGGCTATCTCCATCCTCATGTACAGGTGGTGAGCAGAATATTTCTTCTTTAGACTCGTAGGTTTTTGAAGGGAAGGGAGAGAACTTTTATTTTGTAGCCATTTTGGAGAGATGGGGGGTTCTACAAGCCTCATAGTTCCACAGAGATGTTTCTTCATTTCTCAGAGCCCCCACTTTCAGGTACAATCCAATTGGCACTCGCTAGTAGGTGTGTGGTCCATATGTTTCAATGAATCGTGGGTCCAAAGAGAGACCGGGCATAAAGGTTGAGCTAAAGAGTATCAGAGCATCATCTAAATCATGACTCCTTGCAATCTGTTGCTGCTGTCGTTATCCTTAACATTATTAGAACAACTGGAATGCCCGACCAGATGTTTCTGCTTCAACAGGTGAAACGTAACCTTCTCAATGTCTCTTACCACATCGCTCAGTATACCAGCATCATTTCTGACCTACGGCGTGAGATTGAATGCTTGAAGGCTAAGGTTGAAAACCAGGGGAAGGAGAAACATCTCCTGAACTCTGGTGCCAAAGATGCACAAGGGCAAGGTGGGAATTTGGCCTCTTCTCTGCACTAAATCACTATAGCTTTCATGGTTTTCTTAAAACTCAGTCCCTATATTTCTGAAGTGTCAGGATGAGGGACGCTGCTATTTTGCCAAGAAAAACATGAAAGGGAGCTAGGAGGAGCATCAAGGGAACCCATCTTTGCAAAATGACAACTTCTTTGGAAGAAAAAAACCTGAAGGGTGGGGGAACAGTCCAGTAAATCTGGAAAAATGGGACCCCTAGCCATAGATAGTTCCTTGGAAATAACCCTGACTCTGTTTAACCAGGGTTTATACTTAGATTAGTCGGCATGGTATTTCATTCTAGAGGCTAGAAACTAACTCAGAAGTAAATTGCAAAGCTGAGGTGTTGAAAGGTCTCACTTCTTGTCTTCCCTCAGGGGAGGCTCCCCTGGACTTTGAAGAGTACGGCCATCAACAGCTGCAGAAATTACAGAAACAACTGATGGGTGCCTTCAAGGAACAGATGGACATGCGACGCAGCTTAATGGAGCTGGAGAATTCCAACATGGAACTCCATGTGGACACCTCCAGGCACCTTCTCCTGATTGCAGAGTGAGCCACAGGACCTTTTTTGCAACCAATCTTTCGTCTGTTGTTGGATAGCAGAGTTAGAGTGAAAGAGAGGAAATCACAGGGAAGCAAATTTCAGCTAAAGACAAGGGTGTCCAAAGGATATGGTCAAAAAAGTAAAAATGGTGCAATTGAACCTCTGCTCTTCATGTTTGTCATTGTGTGAAAACAGCCAGAGCTTTGATTGCACCACTATGCCTCAGCTCCACTTCTTTGACCGCATCTTGTGGACACCCCTGGCTAAGGGGGAGAAGATTGCTAAGGACTGGAGTTTTCCAATTATGGAAACAGTTCACTGGATATCCTTAAGCTGAGGTGTCTAGAGAAGCAATGGGAATTTGAGATCAAAGCAATGGATATTCAGATCCACCACAGATGAATAGAAGCCTTGTAGGAGAAATCAACAATGGCTGCAAAGTTTCCTTTCAGAAATGTTTCTCTGCTATTAGTGTTATCATTATTGTTGTAAAGAAATCTCTGAAACATTTCTAAGGAACCTTAAAACACAGCTTGAGACATCACTGCAGTATCCCCAATGGTGCTCAACCACATTTTTCTGGGGCTTATGGTGTTCCTGTAAATAAGACTCCAGAACTTAAAAAAAAAAAAACTTGCTAAGTTTTTGCAAATTTGTGCCTTAGAGTCACTAAAGGGCATTGTGGCCTCTGATAAAATAATGAACCATCTTTTAAAACCCAGCTGAGAGAATCGTTTGGAGGAAATGAATGCTTTCAGATCTATAGTTTCATTTTCATTGCGTTTTCAACTTGCAACCAGAGAATCTTGTGGCACCCTAAAGGCTTACACATTTATTATTGCATAATGTTTCACTGAATACAGTCCCCTTTTTCAGGGCCCTAGCATTTTTTAATGATGTCGTCACGTTTGAGTCAAGTTTGATTCCTGGTGTCCACAAGTCCATGGAGTTTAAGAGCAACACTACTGAAGTGTTTGCCATGGACGTCTTCAGATTTTATTTTCATTTCGCCATTTTGTCTACAGCCTTGGGATGTTCTCATTGTCTCCCATCCAAGTATTAACCAGGCTCAACCCCACTTATATTTCGAAGGGCAGCCAAAGTTAGAGGGTGCTGTTCCAGTTGCTCGGATCAACTCTACATCCAACACATTAGTTGGAGGGCAGAATTGGCAGTCAGTTTGGATGGGCTGAGGGCACTTCTTATGTTTGGGTGAATTGATCCTCCGGGGTTGCTAATTCAGGGTTAGAGAACAGCCATGTATACACAGGCTGCAAGTTAAGGACACTGAAGTCAACTGTATCTCAAGGGTACCCAACTGGAGAGGAACTGATGGAGACCTCCAGGTCCTGAGATTGGAACAGCTCTGGTCATAATGTCCTTCCTTCCAGCTGGGAACGAGAGAGAGTTCATCAAGCTGGCCAAAGTGCCAACACACACCATCCAAGCAAGAAAGAAGAACAGGAGGATTCTCTGGAGCCTGTGGAGGTCACGATTGCCAGGGAAGAGATAAACACACTGGTGACAGAGCAGCGGAAAACGGCTGCCTTAAAGGTAACAGCAGGAAGGAACATTTGCAATTGGCTCAGAATTGTGCAACTAAGCTCGGTGTGTGTGCATGTGAACAAAAATAACACCTTTCCACTGTTATAACTTTCCAAACCTGGGGAACATTTTTCATCAAATGGGGAAAAAAATGCAGTACTTATTTAGTGACATATCTAATAATGATGTTTTTATTTAACTAATAAATATCTATTTCAGTTTTCCCCAAATAATTTATCTTTAAAACAGGTTAGTTGAGATTTGCTGAGAATATAGTCGAAGGGAGATATGTTCATGTCTCATCTTGGGTGTTGTTATGCCGTAGACATAAATTCTAGGTCTTCCTCCTTTGAGGTAAAGAGATAGAAATTTTTCAGCAAATGGAAAGAAGGCCACCACTATAGTTATCTTCTGAAAGCTTTGCAATTTATTGCTTTATTAGATTGTGTTGTGGGATTTTAAGATGCTGCCTTCCCACCGCCTTGCAGCTCTGTTTACCAAGTTGATCTGTAACGTGTGGGAAACAGTATTTTCTGGAAGCATATTTTCAGAGTTTTGTATGAAAAAGGGACTATATTTAATGGAATTAAATAATGGAACATACACCATGTTGTACATGTGAGTCCTTTATAGGCTTCCCTGGGGTAACCGAAGGGGAGGGGGTCAAAATAATAGCCCCATCCATGGAATTGAAGTCTTGCTCCTTTTTTATGCGCATTGTGGTCACCATCTTGACTTGAGATTCTGATGTGGCCACAGCAAAGGAACAGAGTCACTTCAAAATAGCAACAGCTCCTCTCTCCCTTTAGTATTCAAAAACTGGTTGTGAATATTTAGACAACACTTCAGAAATGGAGGAGAA